CTGGTGTCCTTCACCAACTGGCACTTAAAGGCCAAGTGACTACTGCACATTCTTGTTAGGTAAGTACAATCACGCACACCAAAGAAGTGACATCAGGGTGTAAGAGCCAGTACAAAAAAGGAAGCCCGGAAAACACTGCGGATGTAGGCTCTCAACAGGCAGCCTCTGATCCCTAATGGGCAGGCTAGGGGAATCCTACCTTGTCTGATGGATTTTAGAACCTGTTTAGAAAGCGGCACTTACTTGAGATAATTCCTCATGAGATGACAGGCTATGAGAGAAGACCAGGGGAGAAGGAATTCTCTTTGTTTTTTCTTAAAGTTAGGAAAGCCCCATGCCATTTGGCAGTGAGCAAGCTCCCTACAGGAGAAACAAAGATCATCTCTAACGCTGGGGACACGGAGGCTCAGGCCGAGCTTCCTGTCTCAATCCATCAGGACAAGGGCTAGTACAGGATGTATCCCACCACTCTTTCCAAGCCAAAAATCAGTCCAGTGTAACTACGAGGGGTTTTGGAGTCTGTAAATGAGATCAAGGCTCAGGTCCTCTGGGAAGCTGGTACTCTGAAAAATCAGCTTTAGTTCTTTGTAACAACATGAACTATGAGTTTTCTAGCCCAAGGCTTATCTGAATTTTATCCTGGAAATCATTTCCTCTTTCTACTAAAATCTCAGAATCCCTAGAAACATTTCCCATAATTCTGAAGATCCCTTAAGTGTAGAGAATTTGTTTTGGATGAGTAAAATCCAAGCTCTTCAAAATGTCTTAGGGCCACTAACAGAACAGTCATAGGCTAGGCATGTGGCAGCTCTGCCTAACTCCATTTAAATGGATTTTCTTCAAACGTAAAAACGATGTTCTTCAAAGACAAAACCTCATGTTGTCTTATGAAATGTTAAAAATTACATAAATGAAGAATTGTGACACAACACAAATCAAAACCAAAACAACTTTAGAAAATAAAAACATCTTTTTGTTTCGTTTTGCTTTTCACTCCAACCACAAGATACCAGAGTAAATGCTGACTCTACTTGCCCGACGCAAATTTGTTCATCTTAGCCAGGGGAGATGAAAAAGAAAATCCTAGGCCAAGTTAGAAATTCTTCTTCCAGCACTGTTTTGTTTTCAGAATAAGCATTTGCTTCCCCTCTTCCAGGTACTGATACCTCCCTTAGTGGGGTGCCACTCTCTTTCCAACCCCACCCCCTTCCTTGAGAATTACTAGTTTAAACCAAGAAATGTGTTAGGTTCTTCTGACCAGGGCTACCTTGGAGAAAAGCCAGTTCTTTCTAAAATCACTTTGATGCCAGCTCCATAAAAATGAAGGCACTCTATATCAAACCAAAGGGACTTTCCAGCTCTGAAACAGCTAAGCATAAATGTTTCTCCGATGAAATTTTATTTAGTGCCGACTCTGTTTAGTATCTCATCAATTAAAGCTGGAATGAACAAATGCCATTTTATTACAACACTGCTGCAGTCCCTGGAGCCAGCCTGTCTGGGTTCATGCTCGTTCCAACTGCGTGGCTAAAGGCATGTTCCTTTAACACTGCATGCCTCAGTTTCTTTATGTGTAAGAGAAGGATGAAAATAACTTTTTGTTGAGTTGTGATAATTCAAATGAGCTAAGCCACTTTGCACAGTGACAACTGTCCATTTGATATTAGCTGTCATATACACGAGTCACTCATAGGTTTTCACCATGGAGATTTTAGCTCTTTTTTTCAGAGGAAACACATTTTCTCTACTGGCTTTCCTATAGAGAGTAGACAGGTCAGAGCAATTACTGTGTGGCTGCTAGAACCGGCCTTCAACATTCTGATTCTGGCCCTATCAGTAGCAAACTGCACTATGTGGGGCAGGTTTTTAAGTCTCCCTATGCGTCAGCATCCATAGCAATAAAATGGGGATGACAATAGTATCCCGTCATAGGGTATTATGAAGATTAAATAAATTAATGTTATGTAAAACATTCAAAGGAGTACCAGGCACAGAGTGTTCACTCTATTACTATCAGCTATTATTAGACTCCTTGCAGTCTGAGAGAATTTGTATCTTATTATTTATTTAAAATCCCATGCCCAAATAAAATGATGTGTTTAAGTACTTCTGTTATGCAAACTTAGGAGAATCCAGGGCATAAGGAAATCTCTTAGGGAATCTGAAGCACATAGTCTGCAGAGGCAGTGGCTTGAGGCTAGCCGTCAGGGGAACTGGGAGAGAACAAGCTATGAGACCTTGAACAAGAGTCTGCATTGATCTGGATTTCAATTAAGTCAATGACAAAATGACAGAGCTACAACTGGCCCTGAAATTCTAAGAATGAATGCATGGTTATTCTTGTGCAGACATCCTTATGGCTATTTCAAAGCACGTGGTACATATCGTTCATCAGAGTCTCGTCTAGTCCACGTTCACTTCTGTTTCCTTCTTCCTGTAGATCCATGTGTTAAGTGCATGACATGTTCTATAGTATGAACTGAGGTTTTATTTCAGTTTCCACCACTGAGCTGCTATCAGTAGAAAAAAGAAATGGGCTGCATTAATTGGTGGTTCAAGGGTTTGCACTGACATTGATTTGATATGTGACTAAAAGATTATTTTAATTGGTGCCACCACCTCTCTTTTTCACAGGACATTACCATTTATGATGATGTTAATGAATTAGAGTTTATAACATGCTTTGAAAAAATCTGAATGAAGAGTCCAGCCTCAGTAGAAAGGTCTATCAATTCATTTCTACGTAAGATATCTCAGGACAAGACAAGAACAGAAGGACGAAAGTGCAGAATCCCATAGATAAAGGGCAGACTGTAAGAGATTCCCCCAGAAGAGGCTTCACATGAAATAATCTAACCATAGTAGAAGGTACAGGCTTTTGAGAGATGTGCATAATTAACTAAGTGGCTTTTGTTTACTGTTGTGATATTCCTATTTCTCAGTTTTCTAGATAATGGTTAGCTGCCGGACAGAAATTCTGATGGAAGAAAAGAGTCTAACACATAGTGTGAGACTCTCCTGCAGAGAGACTGCCTAGACTCAAGAATAATTCAAAATTATTTTTACTATAATATTAAAATATATGATGTACATTTTTTTAAATTGTGGTACAATTTATACAGAGTGGAACACATGATTTTAGGTGTACGTGTAGCTCATCTTATTGCACTTCATTTCACTGTGCTTTATATATATTGTATTTTTTACAAACTGAAGGGATCAAGGAGTAATTTCAACAAGTCTTATGAAGAAATTCATTTTGTAAGGCTATAGCTAATTAGGTAGTTATTCCTCTATGGGATATGGGCAAAGTAAATTAAACATCTTCTGAAAAGGATTCATCATTTTAAATGCCGTTAAGAGCATTCATGCTACATGGGAGAAAGTCAGAATATCAACATTCGCAGAGTTTGGAAGAAGTTGATGCCAACCCTTATACATGGCTTTACGGGGTTCAAGTTTTTGGCAGAGGAAGTAACTGCAGGTGTGGTGGAAATAGCAAAAGAATTAGAATCAGAAGGATAGTTACATGGCTGAATTACTGTAATCTTGTGATAAAACATGAATGAACGAGGGTTGCTTTGTACGATGAGCAAAGACAGTGGTTTCTTGAGATGGAATCTATTCCTGGTGAAGATTTGGTGAACACTTCAGAAATAACAAATAATTTAGAATAGTATATAAACTTAGTTGATAAAACAGCTGCTGGGCTTAAGTGGATTAGCTTCAATTTTGAAAAGTTTACTTGGAGTAAACGCTATCATACAGCGTCATATAGTACAGAGAAATCTTTCTTTGTGAAGAATCAGTCAATGCAGCACACTACATTGTATTATTGTAAGAAATTGCCACAGCCACCCCAGCCTTCAGCAGCCACCACCCTGAGCAGTCAGCACCTATGAACATCCAAGCAAGACCCACCGCTAGAAAAAAAAAAAATTAAGACTCACTGAAGGCTCAGATAATCTTTAGCATTTTTTTTAGCAATAAAGTACTTTTAAATTAAGGTGTGTATGTTACTTTTTTAGACATAATGCTATTGCACACTTAAAAGACTACAGAATAGTGTAAACATAACTTTTATATGGACTGGGAAATAAAGCTTTATGTCAATCAGTGTCAATCATTTTAACAAGATACTTTCTTTATTGTGGGATCTGGAGCCAAACTCGTAATATCTCCGAGGAATGCCTATAGACAATTGGATGAGTTTTAACGAATCAATGTATCCCTGAAGTCAACACTCCCTTCAGAATGTAGAGCATTTCTACCACCCAACAAAGCTCTCTCATGCCTCTTCCTGCCACTACTGATAGGCAATTAGGATTCTGATTTCTATAATACCACAGGTTACTTTTGCCTAGTCTTGAACCTCATATAAAAGGAAAAATATAATACGTACTCTTTTGTGTCTTTCCTTCCATAAAAATATCCTGTTTTTAACATGCATACATGTTGTTGCATTTACCTATAGTTTATTATTTTTATTAAATATTAGTATTCCATTATAGGAATACACTGTTTTGTTTACCCACACTCTTGATGGATACCTGTCTTGTTTTCATTTTGAGACTATTAAAAAGCTACTACAAATATTTTTATTGTGTATATATTTTTCCATTTCTTTTGGATAAATATGTAAAAGTAAACTTACTAAGTCTTAGTTTAGTTTTATGTTTAACTATATTAAAAACTACAAATTTTCCAAAGTGGTTCTACCATCTTACACTCCCATGTACAAAGTATGACATTTCCAGTAGTTCTAATGCTCACCAATATTTGGTATTGTCAGTCTTTTTAATTTAGGCATTTTAGTGAGTGTGAAATGATGCATCATTGTGATTTTAATATGCAATACCTTGATTACTAAAGATGTGGAATATCTTTTCATGGGATTATCGGCCATTCATACATCTTTTTTATAAAGTGCCTATTTCTATTGTTTGTCTTTTTATTTTTGATTTGCAGGAGATCCTCACCCATTGTGAACTTAAGTTCTTTTTTAGATATATGTCCTGAAAATATTTTCTCCCACTCTATGTCTGAGAAACATAAATTAAAGAAAATTATCCTTTAACTTTCTTAAGCATATATTTTGATGAGCGGAATTTTTATTTTCATCAAGTTGAATCTATTGATACTTTTTTTTTATATTTAGTGCTTTTGTATTCTAAAATATGATTGCCTAATTCAAGGTTTTAAAGATATTTCCCTATGCTTTCTCCTAGAAGCTTTATAATTTTAGCTATTGTCAGGACTGTAACTCAGAACTTTTAATTCTGCCAAGTCTGAACTATTTCACATGAAGAAGTCTTGGAGAATAGCTTCTTAGAAATGGTGCCATACTAGAAGTAGATTGTTGGTGGTGGTATGTTTTGTTGTTTTTTTTGGAGTGTTCGGGAGGGAGTTTTTGTTTTTGCTTGCTATTCTCTAAATCCAGCTAGATGAAATAAAATCTATATCATAATATTAGAAACACTTATTACATAGCAGAGACTCTAAGTGTTGTACAAAGTAATAACTCATTTAATCCTCAAAATCCAGAAAACTAAGGCCTAGAGAGATTAAAGTAAACATATCAATGTTCACACAGTAAAGAAGTTGTGGAGTTAGAGCTCAAAGCCCTACAGGCAGACTCTAGAACCCACAGAAGAAATCACTACCGTATGTGGCTTAATTCTGTTAAATTTAATATAAACAAGGTTCAAAGTAGAATGAAATTAAAATTTACTGGAGAACTATTGCATCAGATAGCATTCTAGGCTGTTTTATCTCATGTAATTTTCAAAAAAATACCCTCTTAAGTACATACTACCAGATTTTTACAGAGAAGATTTAACCTCAAGAGAGTTACGTAGCTTGAGCTAGGTCACACAGTCAACAGTGAGTCTGAGACTTGAGTCAGCTTGCCTACTGAAAGCCTCATGTTTTCTGCACTCCAAGATCCTGTGTCCCCTGTGGACATCTGCATGACATATCATTGGAAGAAGGACACAGGGAGGGATTTGATAGAGGAACGAAGCTGAGTTAGGTACCCTCAGGCCTGTCTGGTACATTTCATTTATGCAAACAATTAGGGAAATGTTTCCAGTCCAGAAGCGTGTCTTGAAGACCGTAATCTTTAAGCCACAAGTATACTCACTCCTTGCTGATATGAGCTTCTAGATTGCCGACAATTAGGGGAATGTTTCCAGTCCAGAAGCGTGTCTTGAAGATCACAACCTTTAAGCCACAAGTATACTCACTCCTTGCTGATATGAGCTTCTAGACTGCTGACAGAAAACACTTACCGCCTCCAAACCTCAGGTCCATGCAAAAATGGTTAGGACCTCTCTGCACCCTGCTGCTTCTACTCATTGTCCTTTCTCAGGAAGCAGGATAGATCCCAACTGTGTATCTCTAATCTAATGCATAGGCTCCAGCTACTACTGTCAGATTGAGAAAGAAAGGAAAGGAGAGGAGGGGAGGGGAAAGAGGAGGAGAAATCTTCCAGATATGGAAAAGGTGTTACATTGGTGTCATGTTGCTCCATTGCTTAAAACTAGATCTAATGGGTATTAGATGTACATATTTTCAGGCTACCTGGGATAATCTGATACATGCATATGATCACATCAGGTAATTAGAATATCTGTCACCTGAAATATTTATCTTTCATTTACACTGGGAACATTTGTTTGAATTATTCTTCTCTTCCAGCTGTTCTGCATCAGCATCACTTGGGAGTTTGTAAAATATGCAAATTCTCAGGCCCCACCTCAGGCCAAGTAAATTAGAAACTGAACAAGATCACTAGGTGGTCCTGAGGCATTATCAATCACTGGCCAATAATACAGCTAGTGCTCGACTTATGACCACGATTGGTTCCGACAGACCGGTCGTAACACGATTTGGTCGTAAGCTGAGTAGGCTATATGCACACGGACATGGTAGTGCTGCCAGAAGGTGGTCTGCACTGTCGTACACCCAGCTGGGCAACATTTGCACTGCCAGACGCGGAGCAGTCGTGGCTAGCGATTGTGCTCGTAAAGTCAAATGGTCGTAAGTTGCGTAGGTCGTAAGTTGATCAATACCTGTATACACACTAAGCAGCAACCGGTGGAGGCAGATAGTATCCATGAAAAATGTGATCTTGTTCACTGAGTATTTCCTGTAGGAATATCATTCAGGTGGCACCTTCATAATTCTCTGAGCATCGGTAAGCTGGAGTGATCTTTGCCATTTCACATGGATAACAGAAAAAAAAAAAAAAGCTGCTTCTATGGCTCAGAGAGTGGGTGAGGTCTTCTCAGTTGTGAGATGACTCCACAGAGAGAACATCCATGGGGACTCTTTGTTCTAGGTGGTTTAGGGGAAGCCGTGCCTCAGGGCTCTGAGTCACCTGCAGTCTCTGCAGCAGCCTTTGCGAGTCATTATCCTACGACGTGATTCATGGGGTTTGTGGGGATGCAGGGTTATTCTTTACAGTCCCATCAAGCTGTCTTACCTCTGGCAAACAGAAAGGTGCAGTGCCCAGGATCAGGATTGGCCTTCTCTGTTTACGGCTTGTTCCTGGTCATAAATTTGGAACAGGAGGGCAAAGTGATTGCCGATTGTTGAGGAGCTGAATGGGGAGCAGTAGGAGATGAAGAAGGAGGGGTGTGTGTAGTGCCAGAAAATGCAAACACTGAGCCGGTGCCCCCTCAAGGTCAGTTTGTGTTGGCAAAAAAAAAAAAAAAAAAGAAAAGAAAATGAGGATTGTGGGAGTAGGATTTTCTCCTTTCCTATATTTCCATGCCATTATGCTTTGATAAACTCTGGCCAAGCGAAAGTTGTTTTTGTTTTATATTTTCTTTTTAGAGATGCCATGGTTTCTATGACAAGGCCTAAGCAATGAACCATAAAACCAAAAGGCACCATAGGCATTTTCTCATCAGGGCATGGGCTGCAAATCAAAAAAATAATTTGTAGTTCACCTGGTGGTACTTCTAGAAGGAAAGAACTGAAAGAAAATGCGGAGAATGGTAACAGCAGGAGTGGGAAAAAAACTAGAGGTGATAATCAGAAAGCCCTGGATTTGGCCAAAGATATAGTATATGGAACCACTGAGCTATCAGATGATGGGGGTTGTACGTGTGTGTGTGTGTGTGTGTGTGTGTGTGTGTTTTCACTTGTGAGTCTATTTTCTGAGATAAAACATATGGAAAGTATTTGGTAAAGCAAAAGTAAACACTGGCTTAACTAAAACAAGCCAACTATGTTTTCAAAAGTATTATCATCAACAGCGGTAATTATAGCAAACATTCATTAGGCATTCAGCACGGGCCAGCCATTGTGCTACATGCTTTCACCACTCGACCTCATTTAACCACCTCCAAAACCTATGTACTTCTGAAAAAGGTACAATCATTATCCTCCCTCTTCTTATACATAAAAAAGGGAGACTTAAGACTGTAAAGGTCTAACTTTTAACTCGGCTGAGGTTTCATAGCTAGTTGGTAGCAAATCCTTAACTCAAACTCAGAGAAGCCTGGCTCAAAAAATATGTGCATGTAACTACTGCCTTCTTCAACTTTCTATTTTACATTTGGAGATGGTCGGTCACCAAAAGATTAAAATGCAACATTTTCTCAAAAAGAATCAGAGATAAATATTGAAAGTCTATCTCCAAAGACAGCCCTATCTTTCTGAGCATAAATAGGAGGAAGAAAAAAAGTCAGTGGTCTTATTTCAAAGAGGACAAGCTCTGTCAGTGGTTTTTAGCCAATGGGATTTTGCCCGACAGAAGACATGTGGCAACGTCTGGAGACATTTTTGTTTGTTACCATGGGAGAAAAGTGCTACTAACATCTAGTGGGTCATCCTCAGATGCTGCAAAGCATCCTTCAGTGCACAGGTAGTTTCCCCACAACAGAAAAGAATCCAGTCCAAAATGTCAAAACTGCCAAGCTTGAGAATCCTGATCTGAGGTAGCTAGGCTATATTCAGGAAAGGATCTTCACACGGTAGCTTCGGATTTCTCTCAGTGATGTCTCTCTCAAACATCCCCTGTTATGCAATCAGAGACAAAAACAGCCTTTAACTGACACTTGATAGAACTAGAATCTTGCAAGTAAGGCAGCCAGTGTACACTCACAAAGAATCACAAGCTGCACTGTCGCCTCCTCCTAGAGGATGGCAGCCTACCCAAGACCTGTACAGTAGAAGCTCTCCCAGGCCGCAGATCCCAAGATCCTAGGGGCCAGATGAACTTCATGAAGTCTGCTGCTGTACCTCTATGATTCAGCAGTCTTCAGAAGTAAAGAATTTGGGGAAACTGGGTGAGTGTGCAGTTTCAGGACCTCCAGTTGTTTTTCTAGCTGGAAGGGACACCAGGCTTAACGGAATAAAGAGGCAGAGTGCAAACTAGCTTCACTTAAGCAAGCCATCTCCTACTAAAATCTTGGATCAGAATCCGCCTCCACCCACACCCTTCTGGACTCTGGGCTCATGCTACAGGGCTGCTTTGTTCTCAAATCTAATGGATACTCTCAGTATCTAAAACAGACTTTTGTCAAGAATTATAGGCAGGTGGTGTTGATGGGAGCAAACTGATGAACCAAAAAAACGCCTCTGAAAAGAGGACTCAGAGGGCAATAAATTGTAAATGTTTATTAACCAATTCACTTGGTAGGGTTTTTGAAATAATTTAATATTTCTGTGATAATTCCCACCACTTTCATTTTCTTTAATTCCTATTTCATTGTCTGGCTGCTTGATTTAACACAGGATTATTCTAACAAATTCCTGATTAACTTTTTTAAGAAGTTGAGAAAAATGAAATGGCATTTGTTTGTGCTGTACGTTCTGAAGCTTTATTGGGCTGCTAACTGAGTGGAAACAAAAGATTTCTGACTTTGGCTAGCCATTCTACTGCAGTGATAATTAAGCAAAATCCTTTTGCTGCATTTTGATTGGTTTCTCTTGCGTTAGTTGCTCCCTTTCCAAGACAGCAGGACAGGCCATACCAATTTATGAGAATTTGCAATAACCCAGATGGCAGGGCTTCACTGTTAAAGAGAGCAGTGTTAGCTACTCCCAGTATAAATACACACTTGCCATACCTTTCCTATTCTAATTTTCAAATCAACATTAAGGATCAGAAAGAATGAAAAGGATATTCTGTCTGAAAATAATATTTCAAAATTAACCTTTAATAATACATACTCCCATTCTACTGATTATATATACATATTAATGTCTATAAAAGAAAAGCATTATGTAAAATGGCCCACCCAGGCCGGAGCAGTGTACTAGGGTGAGTATAATTTATGGAGTCAGACAAAATGGAATTATGGAATTCAAATCCAGATCCATCATTAGCAAGACATGCAGACATGAGTAAATTACTTAGCTAGTTTTAGCCTCCGTTTTCTCATCTCTAAGGTAAGGATAATAGGTAAACAGTGTATTAAGTATTCATCCAATAAGTGCAATATTTTTTTCTCCTTGCAAGATGACCTCCTCCAGAACCTGGCTCAGGCTTGCTTCACATGTTTGCTGCTTAATGGAAAGAAAGCCATCAGCCATGCCTTACAGGACTGCAGGTACTCTTACAGAAAATAAAAGGAATCCTTGGAATATTTAGGGAACCAGCTGCATGTAAGGAAGATTGACAGGTCCCTATCGCAGCTGCTTGGCTTTCAAAGAGCAGCTACACCATCACTGAGGAGTGGAATATTTGGTTAGATAAATGACAAGGCCAGATTTCCTTCTGCAACTATTCCCTCCCAGCCGCCGCTTTGGTTTCCTCTTGCTATGAAAATCTGTTTCTCCACTTTGTTTCTTCCTGTGTTCCTTTCCCCTTTTGCTTTTCTCTCTAGGCTCTCTCTCCCATTTTTTAGTTGCTCACTATTCCTTTAACATTCCCTCCCCTCCTATTCTTCTCTTTAGGTATGTACTTACTAAGTGACGCCACAATTCATAATGACAAACCCTAGAACATTAGGAGATCTGGCTAATCCCAGAATCATTATTTATATAAATCTCTGTATTAGAATTATGACTTACAGTAGCACTGATGCATTGTGAAATTGACAAAGTACCTCACTCTTCTTTTTACATTGCTTCCATTATAATATAATATTTCATGTGGCACCTTTCTGCTTAGGTATAATGTTCTAGAAAGAAGTGATCCTCACTTTCCTTACTGAAACTCTCAAGAAGAGGTTAAGTTCACATTCAGGTATTTTTATAATAATAATTTTAAGGACAAGGATACTGACACACTAATGAATTTAAAAAATTTTTGGCATTTCCCAGAACCCAAGGCTATATTAAGACTTATAGTAAGAACTTATCTCCCCTAGCCCCAGGCCCAGCACTTTATGAATAAAATTACATTTACTCAGAGTGTAGCCCATTTTCTGCAGATGTGATTATCCATTCTAATTATGGTGTCATAATGGATCTGCTCCTTGACTTTAAATAATCCTTTCCCAAATTTAACAGGTCACCTAAACTCAGCTACGATCTCTATGAATGAAAGTACCTGTTAAAAACCAAGCTCTTTGACATACATTATTTCATAAAAACTTCTGAACCATGGATTATTAGCTTCATTTAGCAACCCAGGAAAGTAAGGTCCAGGGAGAAATACTGACAATAATGTGCCAAGAATTTAGAAAGCTCTGCAAAAAAAATTTTTTTAACCATATAGTCCAAAATCAACAGCTATTAAAAGGAAAAGTTAGGATTTGAACTCAGGTCTTTTTACTGTTACAACATTATGAGGGAGGAGAAAGGAAGAAAGTGGTCAGGCAGGCAATGAGGATGAGTCCTCCATTGAATTCTCTCAAATAAAAGAACAGCCTGCAGGCACAGATAAAGGAACTTGGAAAAGGGGGCTTGCCTAACTAGGACATGCTCACAGCCCACACAGATAAGAAAGGCTAAACAGGTGACTCGCTCAGACATGCCAGCAATGGAAAATTCCATCTCGACACATGTGCAGTAAGGGGAACAAAGCAATATGGAGTAACTCAAGCTAAAGGTCCGCATGGGCATCAGGAGGACAAAGTGGAGCTACCAGAAATTCGCACCTTTTGCAAATGAGACACCCAGACCTCATCAGTTTCTTCTGCATTCAACTGTAAAAATGGCAACCCTCTTCAAGGTTCCCTCTTCACGGTGGAAAGCATTCTTTTTTCACTTATTAAACTTTCACTCCACTCTTACCCTTTCTGTCCATGCTCCTTAATTCTCTTGGTTGTAAGACAAAGAACTCTGGGTAACGCCTCACAATGAGAGACTGTTACATTATGGTGCATTGGCAAGACTATCACAATTATTTACCCTACACATTTTTATCTTCATGTGCTTGCTCATGCTGTTTTCTTTTCCAAGAATGCTTACCCCACTATATGTATGAAATTGTATCATGTACCAGACTCAGTTCATATATGACAGTGTTATTCCAGGAACACTCTCACATTCCCCTAGTGTTTGTTTTTTTCTTCTTCACGTATCTTTTTCTTTGTAGGCACAACATTTTGCTTAAATCTTGGTTCAAACATGTAACAAACTGTTCCTAGGGTCAGAAGTATTTGTATACATTTCTGTCTCTCAGGGAGCATTTATTCATTCAGGTATTCATTAATTTCTGGAGCAACTATTAGGGCTGTCATGTGCAGGACACTGATGATGTGCAGGCCAGAAAACTTAGGCAGGATTCCTGACCTTAGACAGTTTACTTTTTGGTTGGAAGAGAGAAGAGAGACAGTCATTTAATAAGGCAACCAATATCCAAAACGATAGCAAAATGTGGTCATGGCTATAAAGGAGATTATCTGGGTAATGAGAGAGAGGGGAACTATGAAAGTCACATCAGATTAACTGTACACTTCCAGGGAGTGACAAATAATTTAAGTTCTGAAGAAAAATAACGAAAAGGTGTCTCAGGGCTGTACTGACAGCATTTTGGAAGGCTGAGGCAGGAAGATAATCTGAAGTCAGTAGTTTGAGACCAGCCTGGGCAACCTAGCAAAACCCTGTCTCTACAAAAAATACTATATATATATATATATATACACACACATATATACACATATTTAGCCAGGCATAGTGGCAGGCACCTATAGTCCTAGCTACTTGGTAGGCCGAGGTGAGAGGACTGCTTGAGCCCAGAAGTCTAGTTTGAGATTACAGTGAACTCTGTCTGCACCATTGCATCTAGCTTGGGCAACAGAGCAAGACCCTGGCTCTATTTAAAATTTAAAAAAAATATGATAAAGCACATTACAGATAGGGGCTACATGATTCCTGGCCTGGGGAAGGAGAAGTCAGATAGGATGTGGAGAGACATTAGCCTGAAGAAGTGGATGGACACACAATGTTTTCTGTCTTACATGTAACAGAGAGAACGGTGCGGTACAGAACATGTGTTTTAGAGGCAGGCAAAACTAGGTCCAAAAGCTGCCTTGTCCCTTACAAGCCGTGTAAATTTCTTCATCTCTCCAATTCTCAACATTCTCACATGGAAAAAGAAAAGGAAATAAGGGGGAAAAAAGCAATATGATTGTTGAACGGAAGCTATTACATTAGTCCTCAGTTGGAAACCAATAGGGAAAACAGTTATGGGTTCCATTAACATAGAGAAAGAGAAATTACCTAAGCTTAGACCTGAGCAAATGGATTTTTCTCAGTGAGTACATCATTCACAGTCAGTTAAAGCTGATAAAAGGGCAGAAGGATACAGGCATGTTTTACTCTGAGAATCCACTCCAAGACAGGGAAATTTCTATATTCCATAGATACAGTTCCAAGTTCTATGGTTATGCTGAGGCCTCTCCTCAGAATGAAGAGTTCTTTCTGAAACACCATTCCTCTCTGTTATGTTCACAGATGAGTACAGCATTCTTGAACGCTGACACTGGTTGTGTTTTGTTTGGGTTCTAAAAGTTGAACATATTCAACAACATTCTTCTCTAAACCCAATTTACCATCCTCCATACGCTCATTAAAGATGGCATTCCAGGACTCTTTGTCATTTGTTGAAATAAAGAAATCATACTTTATGGCAAATAAAGATGGAAAATTTTCCAAGAGATCCAGATGGAACCAGGGAACAGACGGCCCGGTAGTGAGGGATTCCTGCTCACCTGCAGTTCTGCTCACCAGTCAGCAACAGTGGAAAACTCTCCTTGGAATTCATTTTGATGTAAATAAGTCTCCTTGGTGCAAAGAAAAAGTATAAAGCTCAAAGAAATAACTGGTGTTTCGTAACACTTTTGGAAGATGAAGCCAGTCATTCATGTCCAACAATAAAAAACTGTAAGTAGTTAACAATTATCTGGAGATAAAAATAGCAAGGAAAGCATACCCATTATTAGAAGTAAACTCAGAGATTTGGAAGCAATTTTAAGTGGAAAAACAGAAATCTGCTAAAAAAATTTTAATCCTACAAAAAAGTCTAAACGTTATGATTTTTAACTGAATAGCCACATTCAAAAAAGAAGGTAGCAATATGTTTTTTTTTTTTGTAATATAAAAAGTAATCCATTTAATCTTTGGTTTATTGACCTAACACAACCCCAATTTCACATAAAAATTCCTTCTCCACTACTAAGAGTAAATCTACTAAATTTTGTCAGGAGAGAATAAACTGCTTATCTGTTCTCTATCTTTTCATTCCGCATTTTTATGCCTTTAGGTCTCTGCTTGTTTACTCTGGGACGTGGAGAAAAAATAATATTCTCAACAGTTTTTGCCAGATAAATACTCTATAAATTATAAGTCATGTTCCCTGTATTCAATGGAGATTCAATATGTTATGTGTAAGAACACGTCTGAGTTTTTACATGGTGGTGTTTATTGACATTAATAATTACATAGATTTACAAATATTCATACACACCCCCTTCACAGAGTGCCTTAATTAACTTGTCCAAAATTTGGAATCCCGACAGTCTACCAAGTCAGCAGGATCATTAAACCCAATCATATTTGCAGCCTAACCTGATATTTCACTAGAGCCATTCAAATCAATTTACCCAACAGAGGCATTTGTCCCTGGCCTGTCACCACAGCCCGTACCAAGCGTCCTACACTTCTTTATCTTTTGGCAGGGCCATCATAAGCGAGCGACACAGAGGGTGATATATGAGAACTCAAATAAGTCATAAATCCCACAACCCTTCATCTCCTGTCAGGCGGACAGAATTTACGCCCACTGGCCTTGGCAATGGCTCTTAGCTCAGCTCCAAGAAAGTCAACTTAAAATGACACACTCTTTTAGGAGTGAATCTCCTCTCAGTATGGCACTAGGGAGGGAGAATACCAAGGAAAAAGAAGGAAGGGAATATGTCAGGGCACTCTATTCTCTAAGATGGGTAGAGGCCACTAATCTCTTTTCCTCTAGAATTAAAATGCCTTTGTAAGACAATCTCCATCCTTGGTTCACCCCGATTTTAAGTGACCAGAAATCATCCATTTTATTTTGCCTTCCAATTGGCATAAGTGGTGGAGAATTAAGAAGAGAGGAAGCGGTACTCATTTTATATGTGGCTGTCATATACCACGATAACAAAGATTTGCCTGAAAAACGCAGGGGAAATGGGCTGCCAGTGCTTTTTAAACAAAGGAAACAAGTCTTGTAGCTGACAGCTTCCCTCCTGTGTATGTATATGAGCATGTGTGCACATGCACGTGCTTTCTGTCACAGCTTTGGTTGAAAGCAAGGCACTCAACAGGAGATTTGTCAAGCTCAAAGGGTCCTAATCTCTAGCTGAATCTTCCCTGACATGTTATAGAATCTCCTGGGGGTTTTACCTAAGAGTATGTCTGTTTCTGGATGAAGAAGCTAGAGCACTCCCTTCCTCTTTCTTCATCTCAAAAGAAAATATTATTTTTAACCCAGGCAAATTATAAACTAATGTGGTCTCATTTAACAAGAAATTAGGACTTTAGAGTAAATCAAAGGTACTAGAAGTAAGGAAAAGGAATTGAAATAGTGACCAACAATTGTTTGAGACACATTCAAATATTTTCATCCCTCTAAGAGAAGTGGGTGGAAATTATATCATTCATAATATACATCAAAATTAACCCAAGTAATTCCACCTGGTCCCATCTTCCCTTCCATTCATTTTGGTAGTCAACAATACTATAAAAAGAGTAATCATGCCTTTCCCAATACACCTCATTATCTATCCTTCTTAGTATACATCTTGAGTAACGCAATTTACTTCAATGTCACCAAGAAAGCCAAGTCCCTTTGGGATTGTCATTATCCTAAACCACAATCTGCTACCAATTCATCTGTCCTTAGCTGCTCCTTGTTGTAACTTCCTTTAAAAAAATAAAACAAAAACAAAAACAACACAACAAAATAAAGACAAAGCAGTTTAAGTCCTTGTTTCTATTCATTCCTGGGACTTTTCCATTTTAGTTGTTGTTTTGTTTTTGTCACAGTTTTCACCCATAACTCATCTAGGAAATTAAACTAGGGATGAATGGAGAATACACCATGCCATGTCCTCTCCCTCACACAAGTCTACACCAGCACCATGATGAACTGTCTATCAGAAATTGTGTTATAAGACGTCGGGGGTGGGGCGAAGTATCTTGCTGAATGCTACATAAACAACCTAGCGAATTCTGAATAATTACAGAATTATATTTCTCTTACATGTCCTCACATGTTTAATCGTGTGGAGTAAAATCCAACTGTCCTCCAACATGGAAAAACTACAATGCAAAAACTATTGTGCTTTTCTAAGTTCAAGAAGAAAATGACAACATCAAGATGAATGATATCATGGATGATTAAATTTTCCTTCTGAATTCAGACCAATAGGGTTATTAACCAGACACTAAAATTCTACTGTTAGCATTTAAAAATATATACACATCCAAATTTTATATTTGTTTATAAAGTAGCAGGGGAACAATTAGCTCCATGCAACTCCCACAAACAAAAATATATCGAGGATACATTTTATATCCAATTAAAAGTAATACTTAGTTATATAAGTAGAGAGATGAAATGGTACAGAAAATCTCCAAGATTTATTTGGGCAAATGCCTCTGGGCTGGTGATTTCATTTCACACATATTTGTTCCCCTGTGTAGAAATGGAAATCATATAATTTAGATTGAGTTAGATTCAGGACTTAGGAACCTTGACCATGTGTGTCTCTCAACATAGAGAAAGGCAAGATGGTACAGTCATGGATCTAAACCCTTTGGATTTCTGAGATTAAGATGCTGTATAAGTAAGTATATAGTATATTTTACCCAAAAGTCTATGATTTCTATGAATACGTACATGTAGGCGATGGACAGAAATAGGACCTGTTCTTTTCACATGAATGGCTGTCAAAGGAGAGTATCAGATACATTTCATGAAAAGGCCAAATATGGCATGTTTTATATAATGAAAGGAATACATTAAGAACCTTGTGAAAATGAAAAATGAGACAAGGCTGTAGAGCGGGGCCTATTAAAAGGACAGTCCTCACTTAAAATAATTTATCCTAGTATCTTCATTCTTAACCACTGTACATGAATAAAACTTTGATTTTACCTATTTTCTGTCAAATTTATCTTGTCTGTTGGCATTTTTCAATTCACCCTTGATAAAATGAACTTAACAAATTAGCTTCCATTTAAAAAAGAGGTTTACATTTTTAAGAGGAAAGGGTCTTATAAACGTGTAAAAGAACTAAAGTTGAAATTAAAGTTGATATCAGCATTTGTGAATGTAACCTGTTTATTTTAATTTGCTATGTAAGTCTGAGCTAAAATTCTTAAATGTAAGATGCTTCCATAATCTTACTCCACATGGCATCAGGCAAAAGTTAATTTGATACACAAATCTATTTGTTCTCCAGGGCATTTGCTTAGAATGTGGAATCATTTAAGAATAGTTTACAACAATGGTTCCTAACATTTAACTCTTGTTACAGTCAAAGAGAATGTTGTATAAAATTCAATTTTATACAATCCCAGAAGTTTCTGATTCTCCTAACAATCACGTTTGATTTTT